AGCCGGGACAGGATCAAGAGGTGAGCGAACACATACCGGTGTTCGCTCACCTCCCGATCTACTGAGCCGACCTGTGACAGTCTCATTGTCACAGGTCGGCTAGAACTATGAGGTGAGTAAAAAGCACTCACCTCATAGTTCTCCTTTAAAGTTAATGAGACACTGCCTTCTTGCCCATTCATGGCAAAGAGACAGTATCTTAGCAAAAGAGCATTCCCTGTCTTACTAACACTCACACTCAGTGCCAGTGCTCCACCGCAGCATGGCATTTGACACAATATCTGGTGCTGTCGTGTATGGGGGAGTATGTGACCTCATCCTATGTGACAGTGCTCAGCTCTAGCAGCCAATTGTTAAGCCTAAGCACAGTCTCATGACAGAGTCACTTGAATGAAAACCCAGACATATTAAACAGTTTTTTTTGCGCCTATACATGCACATTATAATATCTACTATTTTTCCTAGATGAAAATCACACTCAATCACACTGAATTTTGTTCAGATAAGAAACAAGAAGACATTTCTATCCTGCTCCTTCAATTTTTCTCATCATTACAGTCGAAAACAAATGCCAATAAGACCCCACTAACCATTAGAAAATCAAACTTTTATTTGCAAAATGAACATTTGCGAATTACATTTTACTGATATATGGGCAGTTTTAGGTTACATATCAGGGTCTGGGTGAGATACTGAGTGATCTAATAGGATTATGGAAAGGTTGGAGGCTAGGGACTTTTTTGTTGTATGTTTCATTTTCTTGATTTACACTAAAAGCCCCATGCTACAGGCTAACAACTGTGGGGTTCCAGTCCCAAACTAATGTACTGAGTTTAAAGCAATCAGCCCAATCCATATAAAACAAAGCTAATTGTGTATAGGTGTAGCAATATATCCTCAATGTAAATCCATTATGCACAGTGGTGGCATTACAAAGTGTAAAAGGTGACACAGGTTCTAACGGTTGAATGAAACCCCTTTAGCAAGTTAATTCTACTGTGGCAAAGGGAAAGGCATTTGTGATGGCTGGAAATACAAGGAAAGATATTTTTTGTGTGATATGGCCAGTCAGAGAGTATGCAGAGATTACATAACAGCAGAGATTGAACCCTGCCTATCTACACCCAAAACTAGAATAAAGTTTTGAGGAATACCTCTTTAAAGTCTACCTGTTCCCTGACCATCGACATTAAACTATTTACAAGCAGTAAAAGAGCGTTAAAACAAGCCCTCTGCAGCTGCAGGTACTATGTAGTAATTCATACTCAAACATAACAACAGTGCCAGTCAGTTTGTAATCATTAGAAAGCTGTCAAGCACTTGTTACTAAAGAAAATAAGGGGAGGTGAGCTGTCATTTCACTGCTTCTGTGGTGATCTTTAAAGAATAATTTCTCCATAGTAAATGCAACTACAGGGGTCAGAATGCTTATTTCAAAGTTTTTTCTACTGCCTATTTAGTATATACAAACACTTTGTTGTCCATAGTGTGGTAACAGGTGCACTTTAAATAAAGTCTAATGTGGAAGCTGAGGATGACAGATGATGAACGCTTCGGTAGTGACATTAAGGGCAAAAGTCCCTTCACAATGCTAATGTAAGGACTTACCTTAAATGATGCCTCTTAATCCGATCTTCTTTCCTGTAGTTTTTAGCTGTCCCTCAAGCACTGGTGCGGGTCTCCGATCCAGCGCTGACTCCTCTGTCCTCCTCTTCTCTAATGTCCCACAGAGTCTGTGCTGGTGCACGCTGCTCTATAGACTCACCTTCTGTCTCTCCTTGTCTCCCGGCCGAACATCTGAACTGCGCATGCGCCCGGCCCAAGATCCATTGCGGCCGCCCGAGAAATTTTCAGATGTTCGGACGGGAGCGTGCGGCGGAGACACAGGTAAGTATTAACTTATTTTTTTTTTATAGTTTTGCATATATCTACTGCTTGCTAGCAGTAGATATATGCAAACACAAATGAGGGTTTAACAACCCTTTAAATATTTTGTACAGTGGCGGAGCCGAGGGGTGCTTGGGTGTGCTGGTGCACCCTCAAAGATGACCTCTAAGTGATATGTTGTGTGTTACATAGTTCTGACGGTTGCTTGCTGCTGTGTGATTCTTCTTCTAGGTAGCCTCAGACAAAGTGTTAATATTGTTATTGTTCATATTGTTTTATTTTAATATATAATTTATATTAAAATGACCCTTTGGGTGTAGGTATGTGCGTGTCTGTGACACTCTCCGTCAGAACAAAGACTGTGGACTATGTACAGTTTACCCTATAATGAGGCTTAGACTCTGCTTAAAGCTACGCCCAATACTTAGCGCAATGTAGCCACAGTCCTCTTTTCACCATGGCATGCTACGTGCGCCGCATACTTTTCCATTATTCTCCAGGTGTCTCTCTTTCTGCCAAGTTTTTGATGTCGGGAGATACGCAGCTTTTAGTTAAAAACACACAATTCTCACTTGTTCACGCACTCACTGTTTGGCTTTTTCACTGTGAAGGCAGATACTAGTGGGTATTGTTAACATTTACATATTGATCCCTTCAAATTTCTTGCTTAACCAACCTAGGTTATATATATTTATATATATATATACACACACACTATATTGCCAAAATTATTGGGACACCTGCCTTTAAACGCACATGAACTTTAATGGCATCTCAGACTTAGTCCGTAGGGTTCAATATTGAGTTGGCCCACCCTTTGCCGCTACAACAGCTTCAACTCTTCTGGGAAGGCTGTCCACAAGGTTTAGGAGTGTGTCTATGGGAATGTTTGACCATTCTTCCAGAAGCTCATTTGTAAGGTCAGGCACTGATGTTGGACGAGAAGGCCTGGCTCGCAGTGTCCGCTCTAATTCATCCCAAAGGTGTTCTATCGGGTTGAGGTCAGGACTCTGTGCAGGCCAGTCAAGTTCCTCCACCCCAAACTCACTCATCCATGTCTTTATGGACCTTGCTTTGTGCACTGGTGCGCAGTCATGTTGGGACAGGAAGGGTCCATCCCAAACTGTTCCCACAAAGTTGGGAGCATGAAATTGTCCAAAATATCTTGGTATGCTGATGCCTTAAGAGTTCTCTTCATTGGAACTAAGGGGCCAAGCCCAACTCCTGAAAAACAACCCCACACCATAATCCCCCCTCCACCAAACTTTAGACAATGCAGTCAGGCAAGTACCGTTCTCCTGGCAACCGCCGAACCCAGACACGTCCATCGGATTGCCAGACAGAGAAGCGTGATTCGTCACTCCAGAGAACACGTCTCTCCTTCTCTAGAGTCCAGTGGCGGCGTGCTTTATACCACAGCATCCGATGCTTTGCATTGCACTTGGTGATGTAAGGCTTGGATGCAGCTGCTTGGCCATGGAAACCCATTCCATGAAGCTCTCTACACACTGTTGTTTTGCCAATCTGAAGGCCATACAAAGTTTGGAGGTCTGTAGCTATTGACTCTGCAGACAGTTGGCGACTTCTGCGCACTATGTGCTTCAGCATGCGCTGACCCCGCTTTGTCATTTTACATGGCCTACCACTTGGTGGCTGAGTTGCTGTTGTTCCCAGTTGCTTCCACTTTGTTATAATTTGTTATAATATAATAACAGTTGAGCTTGGGATATTTAGTAGCAAGGACATTTCACGGATGTACTTATTGCACAGGTGGTAACCTATCACGGTACCACGCTTGAATTCACTGAGCTCCTGAGAGCTACCCATTCTTTCACAAATGTTTGTAGAAGCAGTCTGCATGTCTAGGTGCTTGATTTTATACACCTGTGGCCATGGGGGGTGATTGGAACACCTGAATAAAATTATTTGGAGGGGTGTCCCAATACTTTTGGCAATATAGTGTATATATTGTGCACTGTAATTAGGCGGCCTAGCCCTGCCCCTCAATTGCGCTATGTTTGACTTCGCCCCCATATTGTGACGGGGTAATGTGATTCAGCTTAGTCTAAAATATATTACTAGATTGTAAACTCTTACGAGCAGGGCCCTCTTATATTGAAATTGTTTTGTAACAGTACTGTCTCCCTCCATTTTGTAAAGCTCTGCACAAACTGTTGGCATTG